TGATTTTAAGATTTATCTATAAACAGAATCCTATAATCAGTAACCTTATAAATTGATGAGAGTTAGGACCCACATAGCTCAAATAGATAGCAGGTTGAGATGGGACTTATTTTGGATATCTCTTAAGATTAAGCACAAGGTTTCATAATTGTCAGACAGCTCATAGTTAGGTCATAGAGCTCAAGGAAAAATTGTGGAATGGTAGCCAGACTGTTTCTTCAGAATCAAATAGAGGTCACTTTTACCCATACACATTTACACTAACCTCAGCTGATTGTTAATGAAAATAAGAACCCAGAATTATTCTCTGCCTTTTTGGCAATTGTCTCCTCCCCCAGTAATGTTTAGCTGTACTTATAGAATATTACAAAGGGGTCCCCAGTCTTTCTGGGCCAATGGACACATTTGTAATTTTAAGGTAGCACTGGGGAGCAGCAACATGTCAAACACCCAGTTTTTAAAAAAATAGTTTTAATTTTTAAAAATCTTAAAATCAGGAAGGGCTGGAAGCCTAAAGGGTCCCATACTCACAGACCCCAAATCTGAGATCAGTCCTGCACCTTGAGAGCTGCTGGCAGGGGAAGGAAGGCTCAGTTTTTAATTGGCCTTGGTTTGCCCAGTGGGTGCTGCTAAATATTATGGCTTCCCCTGGAAGAATGTTAATGTGTTGCCAATCACTGGAGTGAAGGTAAAGTGTCCCCTAGCACTTCAGTGGATGCTTTGCTTCTCCATATGAAATCTGTGGGACTCGAATCTGCTCGGATTTGTGCTCCTATATTTGGAGTGATATTTCAGCTTCTAGCTTTTCCAAGAAGGAAAATAACTGCAATGTCCTGCTTCCGCTTCATTCCATAAGATAATTTTTATTTGGTTGAAGAAGAGCAACTGTTGCACTGTATTGAGACCTGTTGCTGCTAAAAGAAAAAAGAAAAGAAAAACACCTTGGATAAGAATGGAAGGCTGTTAAAGACAGAAAAAGAGTTATTACTGCCTTTTGAGACTCCACCTGCTTATGTCACTGTCAATCAGACTGTTAGTTCTCTCCAGAGCTCTATAAATGGAGTGATCCATTTCATTGTAGGTTACTAAGCAGCTAAGCAGCGGGAAGACAAAGCCAAAAAGTACTGGTATGCTTTATTTTTTAATTGTATGATCACATTTGTGCATGTATAGTGTTTGAAAGTTATTTTCAGTTTTCTTTCTAAAAGATGTAATTCACTTTGAGAATGATTATACTTATTTTGGAGGAATAAAACTAGGAACTCCTTTAGGGCTGTTTTATTTACAAATTAACTCTACCATAGATACAGCCTCTGTGACTTAAGATTTTTTGAAAAGGGTTAAAGGGATTCTTGTGCTTATTTATGTAATTAATTAAAGTTTGTTCTTATCCTTTAAGTAGAGTGACTTCAGATTTGTACTTCTTGCCAGAATGTCTAAAATGTGGAAGCTGCTGGTCTTGGTTCAATGCACTGCACTGATTTTAAGAGGTTTGGGGCAGGGAATTCCATTAAGCCCTGAAGAGACATGGAAACCTCTGGACAACCCCAGAAACAGAGAACTGGTAAGGAAAACTTCAAATTTTTCCATGCTACTTCTGTGCCTAAGCATCAAGCCAAAGTAAATGGTCACCTAAGTATAAGCATTTTTCAGTTTGCACACCAGTGCAGCATCACAAAGCATAAATATGTGGAAATAGATATATTAATAGAAATTGTTAGGATCAGTTAGGTTCATAGTTTAGTTGATAAATTTAACATGTCAAATCTATTTCGAATGATCCTTTGCAGTCACTTGCTAAAGAATGGGAGGTGAATTTAGTTTTTTTCACAACATATTAAATGTTGAACAGTAATGTCCATTAGTAGCTTTCCCTAAATGGTCATTTTGAGTAAGATGACATTTAAGCAGTATTATTCATATACATGTTTGTTTAGAGCTAATATTTTATTATTGCCTTCTGCTAAAATATTATCAAAACATTGCTTCCTAAAGTTATATCTATTATATCTGTGCCTAGCTAACCAACTTTTGAAAAATATTGAAAACCATATTTTGCCAGCGCTTGTTTCTATTATGCTTTGTTCAGGAAAGATGCTTAATTTCTGGAAGGAAAGGGTCAGATTTCTGAATTGTTATGAACTTTATAGAACTATTCAGTGTATATGAACATCGTTTAGAGAGACTATTTTACAGCGTTATGACATAAGTCCATTATGCATGTGTATATGCTTCACACAAATTGAACAATAAAGTAAAAAGAGATCAAAAAGGGGAGGCTAGCAGACCATGTTGATCAAGAAGTTTGTGAAATGATTTAACTGTAGTTAAGACAGCATGTCTTACATTGCTAGAGAGATAGGAATTCTACTCTAGTGAGAAGTAGATGGGGAAATTAGCATGTTAGCACGGCTACACCTTTTACAATTGCTGTTGAAGCATGCATGTTTGTAGGACATGGAAACAAAAAAAATTGCACATGCTTTTTTAAATACTCATGTCAATATGTCTCAAAACCTGACTGGCTCAGGTTTCCCAGAGATGCATTTCACAGGTGCTTAAATGTGGGTTTACACTTGTTATCCCCAGGTATTTTGTGTTTTCATGACGGCAGCATTTAGCATACCAGCTGTAATTTATGAAACTGTTTTTAGGTTGTGAACCCCTGCGGTATAAAACCATTACTGCCAAACTAATATGAGCCTTGGGAATAGGGTAGAAGCTATGTATTCAAATGTGTGTTGGAGATGTTTGCTTTGTCTTTCTGAAATGTGCGTTTTATCCAGTTTTTCAGAACCCTCAACGCTTATTTGTCTGGGAGAGGGCTTGATCTCAGAAAGTTTTCCAATACTTTCTTAATGAACAATGATAAATCAAGGCCAATCACTTTCTACTCAGATCCTGTCAGTTCTGCATTTGCAGATTATGAAGAGAAGAAAAACTCTTTTATGAAGTATCTGAAAGGCTGAAAAATGCTGATCAAGGTAAGCAAGAGACATGCTCATCCTGACTCACCTTCCCACATTTTAGGCCATTAAGCATAATAAAATTCACTAATTTCCAATTTTATGCTAGATTAATTTGCCTAGGTGGCACAATTAAATAACTCCTCAATAAAACAGTTTGCAAACAAAGACTAGAACCTTAATATACTAGGGCAAAAATAGTTGGTTAAATAATTGATGTTTGCTATTACTAATAAGTAGGTGAAACTTCCCCTTTGTTTTATTTGAAATAAGCTGCTTAATCTGAAAGCTATTCACCAGATGCAATAAATTAAGTCATTTTAGAACCTGAAAGATTTTAAATCTTTACTGCTCCTCTAATGATATCATTCAGAGCATGTCATCGACTCCTTTCTTTTCTCAAACTTGCTGCCTCTCAGCTCAGAAACAGGTAAGGTTTCAAGGAACCTTGGTAGAGGGTCTGTGGATTTGTGTCCCAAGATCAGGGGCCCCCAACGTGGCTCCTGTGAGGAATTGTAGTGGTACCCACAAACCTTTACACTCCCTGCCTGCTTAAAAAAAACAATGTCGGACAGTGTTGGGATAGGATTTTTTTTTCTTTCTTGCCTTTCTCTTTCTTTCCAGCATACCTTTTGCTCTACTATTACCCCCTTCTTCCTCTAGCCTCATTATTTCTTCCCCATCCCCTGCTTCTTCCTCTGAAACTGGACAGTCATCTGAGTGGGATGGTATACATTGGTGACCTGCAAGAGCAGCAGGTTGGACCTGATGGCCTTCTTGGCCCTTCCAATTCTAGTATTCTATGATTCTTTGATAAGAAGCTAACTCAACCGAAACAAATTTGTTTAAATTGTTTTTTTATTTATACTAGAGTAGATGCAGACCTTAAAAGTCCCATTGACGCCCATGAAATGGCCCTGAACTGGTTCAGGCCTCCTGTTACTAGTCTAGGGTAAAAATGGGGAAAACCCATGGTTGCCAAACACTAGTTATGTTTTGGCCCTGTTATATACATGCAAGTGCCATGGTAACTTCAAACAGAACGTATCATAATAGCAAATTTTTAGTTCTTGGTTCCATAGTAGGACCTCCACATGCCCTACTTTACAAAGGACAGTCTTCTGTTTGTGGAGCAGTGTAATCCAAATCCAGGTTAAAGATTAAAAAACACCCACAAACGGGTAAAAAAGAAGGGAGAGCAGAGGCCTTGAAGTTGCCCATAAACAGCTAGTTGACTGAGTAGGTCCACAATTCAACTGGTGAGAGTCACTCATTTTCTATTTAAATTATAGTATCTGTTTATAAATGTGTGTCTGCAGGTGGTGCAGTGGTTTAAACCGCTGTGCTGCTGGGCTGGTTGATCAAAAGGTCGCCGGTTTGAATCTGCACAACAGGGTGAGTTCCCATTGCTCTGTCCCAGCTCCTGCCAACTTCGCAGTTCAAAAGCATGCAAATGCCAGTAGGTAAAAAGGTACCACTTCGGTGGGCAGGTAACAGCGTTCCGTGCACTTCGGTGTTTAGTCATGCCGGCCACATAACCACGGAGTCTGTCTGCAGACAAACGCTGACTCCCTCGGCTAGGAAACGGAGATGAGCACTGCCCCCTAGAGTCAGGCATGCCAGGACTTAATGTCAAGGGGAACCTTTACCTTTTTATCCATATAATTTGTTGTCGTTAGTCGCAAAGTTGTGTCTGACCCATCGTGACCCCATGGACAACACTCCTCCAGGCCTTCCTGTCCTCCACCATCTCCTGGAGTCCACCTAAGCTCATACCAACTGCCTCAGTGACTGCAGCTAGCCACCTCATCCTCTGCCGTCCCCTTCTTCTTTTGCCATTTATTGTTCCCAGCATTAGACGCTTCTCCAGGGAGTCCTTCCTTCTCATTAGGTGGCCAAAGTATTTGCGTTTCATCTTCAGTATCTGGCCTTCTAAAGAGAAGTCAGGGTTGATCTCCTCTAGGACTGACGGTTTGATCGCCTTGCGGTCCAAGGGACTCGCAGGAGTCTCCCCCAGCACCACAATTCAAAGGCCTCAATCCTTTTGCACTCAGCCTTCCTTATGGTCCACAGCTTTCACAGCCATACATTGCAACTGGGAAAACCATAGCCTTGACTATATGCACTTTTGTTGGCAGGGTGATGTCTCTGCTTTTTAGTATGCTGTCTCGTTTTGCCATAGCTTTCCTCCCCAGGAGCAAGTGTCTTTTAATTTCTTGGCTGCAGTCCCCGTCTGCGGTGATCTTGGAGCCCAGGAAAATAAAATCTGTCACTACCTCCATTTCTTCCCCATTTATTTGCCAGGAAGTGAGACGACCAGATGCAATGATCTTAGTTTTCTTAATGTTGAGTTTCAAGCGAACTTTTGCGCTCTCTTCCTTCACCTGCATCAAGAGGATCTTTAGTTTCTCTACACTTTTCTGCCATTAGAATGGTATCATCTGCATATCTGAGGTTGTTGATATTTCTCCCAGCAATCCTAATCCCAACTGGTGATTCATCTAGCCCCGTCTTTCTCATGATGTGCTCTGCATATAAGTTAAATAGGCAGGGCAACAGTATACAGCCTTGCCAAACTCCTTTCTCAATTTTGAACCAATCAGTGGTTCCGTGTCCAGTTCTCACTGTTGCTTCATGACCCGCATATAGGTTTCTCAAGAGACAAATATGATGGTCTGGTACTCCCATCTCGTTAAGAACTTGCCACAACTTGTTGTGATCCACACAAAGGCTTTAGCATAGTCAATGAAGCAGAAGTAGATGTTTTTCTGGAACTCCCTAGCTTTCTCCATGATCCAGCGTATGTTGGCAATTTGATCTCTAGTTCCTCTCCCTCTTCAAAATCCTACCTGTACTTCTGGTAGTTCTCGGTCCACCTACTGCTGGAGCCTAGCTTGTAGGATATTGAGCATAACTTTGCTAGCATGTGAAATGAGTGCAATGGTGCGGTAGTTTGAACATTCTTTGGCATTGCCCTTCTTTGGGATTGGAATGTAAACTGACCTTTTCCAATCCTGTGGCCGCTGTTGAGATTTCCGAATTTGCTGGCATATTGAGTGTAGCACTTTGACTGCATCGTCTTTTAGGATTTTGAATAGCTCAGCTGGAATACTGTTGCCTCCACTAGCTTTGTTGTTGCTCAGACTTCCTAAGGCCCATTTGACTTCACATTCCAGGATGTCTGGCCCGAGGTCAGTGACCACTCCATCGTGGTTATCAGGGATGTTAAGCTCTTTCTTGTATAGTTCTTCTGTGTAGTCTTGCCACCTCTTCTCAATCTGTTCTGCCTCTGTTAGGTCCCTGCCATTTTGGTCCTTTATCATGCCCATCTTTGCATGAAATGTTCCCTTCATATCTCCAATTTTCTTGAAGAGATCTCTGGTCCTCCCTATTCTATTGTTTTCTTCTATTTCTTTGCACTGTTCATTTAAGAAGGCATTCTTATCTCTTCTAGCTATTCTCTGGAATTCTGCATTCAATTGTTTGTATCTTTCTCTTTCTCCCTTT